GTTATGACAGATAGAAGAAATAGAGAATAGAGAAAAGTAAAAAGCCAGAGGAAGAAAACGTAGAAAGGTGGAGAAGAAATGAAAAAAAAAAAAAAAGAAAGAAAGAAAGAAAGAAAAAGCAGATGAGAAAATAAAGGATAAAAACGTAGACGAAAGAATCAAAAGCTAAAAAAGACGGAGAAGCAGCGAGAGAAAGAGAGAGAGAGGGTGATAGAGAGAGGTTAGTTGAGAAAGACTCAAGAATGAAGCAGAAAGAAATAGATAGATATAAAATGCGATAAAGTTAAAAGAAAGAGAACGATAGAAAGATATATATATATATATATATATATATACAGCGACAAAAAAAAAGAGACGCAAAGATAGGAAAAATGTAAAGAGAAAAGAAGAAAAAGAACAGAAACTGTGGGGCAAAAGGACAGAAAAAGAAGAGAGAAAGATAAAGAAACACAAAGAAAAGAGAGAGAAAAGAAGACAAAAAGATATAAAGATAGAGAGGGAGAAGAAAAAGATAGGACAAAAGACGGAGAGGCACAAGGAGCTAAACAGGGAGGCCCGGAAAGACGGAGATAAAAAAAAAAAAGAAAAGTAACAAAGATGGTCGTAAAGGAGAGAAAAGAATAAGTTTAATTTAGAGAGAAATAATAAGAGAGATAGTGAAAAAAAAAGAGAGATAAATAGAAAGAGATATAGTCAGAAAAAGAAATGGAAAGGTAGGGAATATAGTAAAACAGAGGGCGATAGAGAGACAGGAAGAGAGTGAGGAAAAGAGAGTGAGGAAAAGACAGGGAAAGGAAGAGGTGGCAGAAATAAAAGAGTGTGAAAAATGGTGTATATAGAGAGAAAGATAAAGAAAAAATACGACAAAAGATAAAGAGACAAAAAAAAAAGAGAAACAAAGAAAGATAGAGACAGAAAGAGATAGACAAACTTAAAGAGAGAATAAGAGGTAAAGAAAAAGATTTAAAAAAAAAAGCAGAGATAAAAACGAAAGAAAAGTATGAAAAGAGAGAGAAACAGAATAAAAGATCAAAGTGATCAAAGAAAGAAGATAAAGACTGCAAGAGGGAAGGGGGCCGAAAATGAATGAAACAAAAGAAAAGAAAAAAAAATGTAACGAAAAAAAGAGTAGGAGTTAGAGAGAGGTTTGCGAAAACAGAGAACGAGAAAGAAAGAAAGAAAGAAAGAAAGAAAGAAAGAAAGAAAGAAAAAGAAATAAAGAAAGAAAGAAAGAAAGTGAAAAATGAAAAAAAAAAAAGCCAGATCCGACAAAGATGGCGGTAAATTTATAAACGCGGTCCTTTGTTTTGGGGGGTTTTTTTGTTTTGTTTCTTGTTTTTTTAACGACATATCAACACCTTATGGGTCATTTAATACCGAAACTTAATTTTCTTGCGAGCATTAGTAATTTCTTTTATAAAAAAAAATGTTTCGCTGGTAATTTTATTTTTTCTTTTACAAAAAATATATTGCTGGTAATTTTTTTTCACTTACAGAAATGTATTGTTGGTAATTTTTATTTCTATGAAAATGTATTGCTGGTATATTTACTATAATTTTTTTTTTTTTACTTTCATAGTGTTTCGACCCTCATTTGGTTGTTAACTTTTTGCCCATAGCTGTTTCGACCCTCATTTGGGTGTTAACTTTTTGCCCATAGCTGGGACCCTAACAGGTGCTAACACCTTGGGTTAGGGTGGACCTGGGAACAACAGTAATTAAGAGGCGGTTCCTCCTGATCAGAAACCTTGCTGCCGGATGTAGTTTATCGTCTTACCCTGGACAATAGCGCAGTCGTAGGAGAGAGAATAAAATATAAAAGGACAACAAAGCATAACTGAAAGAAAACGAATAAAAAACGTGATTCTATGAAAAATACATGACGAAAAAGAGTAGAGGAGATTAATTCTAGCAATTAGTGATAACACTAAAAAAAGTTCTACAAGTACACTATCTAAAATATACAAATCAAAACAACAAAGACAAGGATAGTTTTTGGTTGGATTTGTGGGAGGAGGAGTAACTGTTTACCCTATTTACATTCGGACTATTGTTGCATACCCCCCCCCCACTGGGCCGGTGTTCGCCACTCTCTCCCTCCACTGGGGAGCAGTTCCAGACATGAAAGAAAACACGTCTACATTGTTCGACAGTTAAGACTCAACTCCTGAATACCCTTTCGCTGTCTATTCTTCTCACGCTGGCTCAGCCTGTCAACATCGACTTCCTTGTTTTGTCGTCCATCTGACCTCGAAGGTCAACCCCAGGAAGTCCGAGCAGCGATACCATTCCCCCACTAAAAATAATAGTCTTCTAATCTATTATTTAACATTTATTTATTGCCCTCATCTTTGTTGTTATCATAACATTTCGACCGTTGTGTTCTCCGGCCTTCATCAGATGTATATCGATCCGGGTTGCTAAAGGAATTTTCGGTAGGTTAGCCGGTTCGATATATAACTGATGAAGACCGGAGGGCATGACGGTCGGAACGTTGTGATAGCAACAACAAAAATGAAGACAATAGTCCGAATATAAATAAGGTAAATGAAGATAAGGACACTCGCCCAAACAATTCTTAAAATAATAATACTTCCTCCTATAAAACCAGACAATACTGAGATAGACCAGAGTTAATCGGGCGGAATATATTGATCAAAACAATCAAGACGAGGATATTAGTCTGAATAATACATAGAACTCCATCACAGAAGATCTGTCAGTCAGTTATATGCCATGCGTGATACACGCTTAGGCGATCATGTATCATGGACTTTCCTGAGGTTTACCTTCGAGGTCAGATGGAAGACAAAACAAGGAAGTCGATGTTGACTGGCTGAGCCAGCGTGAGAAGGATAGACAGAGAAAGGGTATTCAGGAGTTGAGTCTTAACTGTCGATACATGATCTTTCGATACATGACTGACGAGGCAGATTTTTTTTCCCATAGTAGGTTGCCATTTCTTTCTGCGGTAGACCAGTTGCCACCCAAGGATATAGAACCCGGTGTGTCCTGCCATTTACTCATAGCTGGGTGGAGGGTGAGAAAAGGATTCATACCTTTCCCAAAGGTATGAATTAGCACGTAAGTGAATGCAATGGATTCGACTGGGATAGAACTCGGCTCTCTGATTCCTCAATCCGAACCGTTATCAATTACTCCACCGTGCCCCCTCATACTAAAATAGACTGAAGAGTTTCATCGGCCGAAACATATTGATCAAAATAATGAAATCACGGATCTTCTTTTATTTGTCATCTCCCTTCAGGACGTGTGCGATCGTGGCTTTCCACAACTTCCCATCCTTCGTAACTTTTAGAAATATTTGTCTTTTTCTTATCTCTCCAAGTCCCTATTCTGTTATCCATTTCGTTAGATAAGCTACACAATATTTCTTCTCTGTCGCTCTTCCCTTCCCCCCTATGCCTTGTGAGTGTTTAATTTTCCTGGCCCTCTTCCTTTATTGACTCAGAAATTCCAGCTATTTCTGATTTTATGTGTCTTTTTTTTTTACATTTTCCTTAAGTCTTCCTCATTAATCATATGCTCCATCCATGGTATTCTCAGAATCCTTCTGTAGAACAATATCTCTGTTGCCTCTAGTTTACACTTCAGAAAAATGCCCAGACTAGTTTTAAAATTCCTTAGAATAATATTATTTATCATACTCTTAAGAGAGTGACCAAAGAGCCTATCGGCCAACATATAGTGATCAAAACAACAAAAATGAGGATACTAATTTGAATAATTCAGAGAAAACAACATTCGATTACATAATAGCAGACAATATTAAGAGACCAAAGAGTCCAATGAGTGTCTTCTTCTTTATGTACCATGTCTCTTTAGGGCTAATGGCTCTCCACAACATCCTATCTTTTGTAGCTCATAGCAATCCTTGTCCATTTACTATCCTTTCCAATCCATGTTGTGTCATCCATTTCCACAGGCTCATTAGTTTTTCTTTTTTCAATCATTTCACCCCAGCAAGGCAATAAAGCCACTCAGACAAAACGTATGCATGTTAACACTAATAAGTAAATATCAGAAGTCATAAGAGCTATGTAACATGCAGTATCATGATATTGTCATTATTATTATTATTATTATTATTATTAGCAATAATAATTAATTCCCCCTCAACAAGGTAATAAAGCCTCTCAGACACAAGAGGTTACTGAGTGTTAGAGAATATGGGAAAGTATAATATTAATGAGAGATAACAATGAAAGAATTAAGAAGACAGAAGATAAGGAATTGTTGAAGTTCAAAGATGACTGGGAAGCATAGAGCCAGAAAAAGTGTTCCACAAGCAAGAAGTGCGATAGAAGAAATTGTTAGCATAGAACTTACGGTAACATCTAGCCATGTCAACTGTAAAATGGTGAGACCTAGCTGCCAGACTAGTACTGCGTTGAAAATTCATAAAGGCTAGGTACCATGGCGGATATTTCATCTGAAAAATTACCATGACAATATTTATAGAAAAGGCACAGGGAATCTACGTTACGGTGGTGGGAAAAGGACAGAAGCTGAGAGGTCAGGTCAGGACTGATAACATTGCAGATTCTTCTTTGGCTTTTATCAAGAATCTCTAAATACATAGCAGAAGCATCGGACCAGATGTGGCAGCAATATTTAGGTTACTGGCGGATTTCCCCGATCCCTCTTGTTTTCATTATATCTTGTGAGTGTCAACTTTTCGAAACCTTCTTACCTCATTATATATCCCAAAGGTTTCAGCTGCCTTACTTGCCACGTTTATGGTACTTTAGATATTCTTCTGTAGAAGTACATCTCCGTTGCATGAAGTCTGTCAGGAAATGTTCCAGACGAATCTGATAATTCAGAGAATATCACTACATATAATCATGAAAAACCAGAGAGAGAGAGAGAGAGAAAGAGAGAGAGAAAGACAGAGAAAATGAGAGAGAAAGAGAGTGAGAAAGAGAGAGAGAGAGAGAGAGAGAGAGACAGTGAGAGAGAAAGAAAGAAATATCCATACAAATTTCCCCATTGCATTGTCAAATATTTCAGCTTAACGACTTCAATAAAATATTGAAATAACAGCCATAATTCTGAATACTAGTCGTTATTTTAAGAAGAGGGTACAAATGAAAAGATTTGAAATAGACAACCGTTTCCACTTTTATCTTCCCCTGTTTTATTCATTCATTCATTCATTCTTCTTTTTTTTTTTTCACTGAAACGAAGTAGAGTCCATTCCTTACTTACCAGGCGATCAAAATGGAATAGTCCATTGTTTATGCGATCTTAGCAGGAGACGTTAAAATCTTCTTTCTTTCAGTATTTCTTTCTTTCTTTCTTTCTTTCTTTCTTTGAGTATTTCTTTCTTTGAGTATTTCTTTCTTTCTTTCTTTCTTTCTTTCTTTCTTTCTTTCTTTCTTTCTTTCTTTCTTTGAGTATTTCTTTCTTTCTTTCTTTCTTTCTTTCTTTCTTTCTTTCTTTCTTTCTTTCTTTCTTTCTTTCTTTCTTTCTTTCTTTCTTTCTTTCTTTCTTTTTCTCATTGAAACCAACTAGTGTCTCCCCCAACACTCTTTCCAAGCGATTGAAATGGGAAAGTTCATTATTTATTAGGTGCCGACAGGATATTTTAAACATTTCTTTCTTTCTTTCTTTCTTTCTTTCTTTCTTTCTTTCTTTCTTTCTTTCTTTCTTTCTTTCTTTCTTTCTTTCTTTATTTATTTATTTATTTATTTATTTATTTCTGTATTTCTTTCTTTGTATTTCTTTCTTTCTTTCTGTATTTCTTTCTTTATCTATTTCTTTCTTTGTATTTCTTTCTGTATTTCTTTCTTTTTCTCACTGTAAGCAACGAGTGTCCTCCCCCCCATCCGCTTTCCCAGCGATTAAAATGGGTTAGTTCCTTCTTTCTTTCTTTCTTTCTTTCTTTCTTTCTTTCTTTCTTTCTTTCTTTCTTTTTTTCTTTCTTTCTTTGAAACCGGGTACTGTCTTTTCCCCTCTTTCCACACAATCAAAACGGAATAGCCCATTATTTATGAAGTATTGGCAGGACATAACGGTCGTGCGAACTAACGATGGGAGAGACAGGTACAGTTATAATAGAATAATAGTTCTTCAGCATCAAACCCTAGGTAGTACTGAGGTAGACCAAAGAATCTGTCGTACATAATATGTAGATCGAAACAACAAAAATACTAATGAACTGTTTTGAAATAAAAACATTTTTGCTGATGAAATCCAGATCACCTATAGGTATGTTTCTCGAGGTTTCGTTAATGCCTCCAGGAATCAGGATTGTTTGATTTTATTCGACTCTGACAGAAGTTTAGCGTTAAAGTCTGAATTTCATGACAAGCATGATCGCATATCGTCCGTAAATGTAAGCTGATGCACTTCTTTCTCCCTTGACTTCCAATGTCCTTTCTGCCCGCAATAATTAATTGCAGTGTCCCCGACGTCTGTTGGTCACCCCGTGTCGTACTATTAGCTTTTAGCGGGCAAAGCATGACAAATGCTTGGCGGAAAATTAGGGACATTGGAAAGGAAAATGAAAAAAAAAAAAAAAAAAGAAAAGAAAAGAAATAGATTATTAAATGGAAATTACTCACTTAAAATAAAATGTTTGTGTATCTGTCCTTTCCTGAAAAGTCGCGCATGCGTAGAATCTCTTTTATCAACAACATTCAAATGAAACACATTTGGAAACTTTACTGACATTAAGATATTTTTTTTTTTTAAAAGAATAACCGAATAGAATTTATAACTTTTATAAAACTTTTTTTAAAAAGTTACTTTTTTTTTCTAGAAGCTGCTAATTGTTGACACTAGAAGTCGCTATTTCTAAGCAGCTTTCTTTTAAATCATTTCACCCCAAGCAAGGCGATATGGCAACTATCACCCACGAGTTACTGAGAGTGAGAGAGAGAGAGAGAGAGAGAGAGAGAGAGAGAGAGAGAGAGAGAATAAGAAGACTTTATTCAGGATGATAAAAGAACCGGTTTCAAGAAGATAGCGATTGGCGTTTCATTTAAAGTTTTGAAGATTGTAAGACACAAGGAAACAAGAAACCGGAAGAGATGTCCACAGGCAAGAAGTGCGAGAGAAGAAACTCTTAGAATAGGACTTACGGTTATATCTAGTTATTTCAACAGCGAAACGAATAAATCTAGTTGACAATCTAGCAGTACACTAAGAAATATGTGGTCAAAGTAAGAGGAGGAGAATTCATTAAAACTGCTATGAAAAAAAAAATGAATAGGTTTCACCCCATGCAAGACAGAAAAGCCACCCAGACAGGAACAGAAAGCTTAATAATGAGTGAGAAGAGAAAAGAGTAACCAGGAGGGCATTACATAGCGATTGACATTAAATTCTTGCAGATTAAAGTTGGCTAGAAAGCATGGAGTCGAAAGGGAGTTCCACAAGAAGTGCGAGAAAAGAAACTGTCAGCATAGAACTTACGGCTACATTGATGGGATCTCGACGCCAGTCTAGTGTTGCATTTAAATTCATACAGTTTAGGTACCATAGCGAAGAGCTCATCCGAACAATTGCCATGGAAGTATTTATAGAAAAAACACAGAAAGACAACCTTATGGCGGTGGGAAAGTAACTGGAGCCGAGCCGCCAGATCAGGACCAATAATATTGCTGATTTTTCTTTGGATTTTATCGAGGAGCTCAAGGTTAATAGCAGGGGCACTGGACCATATGTGGCAGGAATATTCTAAGCATGGACGAATGGTAGACTTATAGATATGTAAGATAGATTCTACTAGAGAAAATTTATCTACAGAAAAGACAAAGGGACGCGACGTCACGGCGGTTGGAAAGTAACTGAAGTCGAGATGTTAGGTTAGGACCGATAACACTACACACTCCTCTTTGGATTTTATCGAGTATCTCTGTATATATTACAGGAGCACCAGTTCAGATCAGATCAGTCAGGTAAATGCCATACCTGATAAGCGATTGAGAGATCATGTCTGTTTCGATTCATGAATGACAAGACAGAAGATTTTGCCGCAGTAGTTTACCGTTTCTTTCTGCGGTAGACTGGCTGCCAACCAAGGCTTTAGAACCCAGTCTGTTCTGCTATTCAACACACAACTGGGGTGGGGGGGTCGAGAAGAGATGGATTCATACCTTTCCCAAAGGGAATATAAATATAAACAAATGTGACGAATCCGAGCGGAATTCGAACTCGTCTCTCCAATTTCTGATTTCGAGCCGTTATCCATAACCTCACACCTCACATCCCCAGGTCAGATATAATAGCAATATTCAATTCACGGATGAATGGTAGATTTATAATAATGCAAGATGGATTCTGGCAAGAAAAAAAAATTGTCTGGTATGACACATAATGAATCAACGCTCCTAGCAGTAGAACTAGCAATTGATTTACTATAATCAAACCACTTCATGTCAGTGGAAACGTGAGCCTAAGAAGTCTCATCTTTTCCTCCCTGGGGGTTACCTGATGTTAACCTCCCAGGAGAGTGACTCCTTGCGACCTCTCGGCCTAACGTTTTCCACTAACATGAATATCTATATATATATATATCCACATATTGAATCAATTACTAAGTTTGCAGCTAGGAAAGTGAAATTTACTGTATCGAACTAGACAAATTTTCCTGCCAGAATCTATCTTACATATTTATAAGTCTACCATTCGTCCTTGTCTTGTATACTGCGGTCACATTTGGTCTGATGCTCCTGCTATATATTTATGGATTCTTTTTAAAATCCAAAGAAAAATATGCAATGTTATTGGTCATGATCTGGCATCTTGGTTCCAGTCATTTTTCCACCGCCGTAAAATTGCCTTCCTGTGCCTTTTCGATAAATACTTTCATGCTAATAGTTCAGATAAACTCTTCGCTATGGTATCCAGACTTTATGAATTTAAGCGCAGTACTAAATTGGCAAGATCTCATCAATTTGCAGTTGAATTACCTAAACGCAACCGTAAGTTCTATGCTTACAGTTTCTTCTCCCGGAATTCTCGTTTCTTCCGGATCGATGATTTCCAGCCAATATTGATCTTTAATAATGAGACCTGGTCTCATCTCATCAATTTCCAGTTCAGTTAGCTTGCTGTAACAATAACTTCTATGCACTTTTCGCTTGTAGAACGCTCTTCCGGTTTCACAGGTTCCTGTCAACTTTAATTTACAAAAATTTAAATGCAATGTCTATCGCTATCTGCTGATTGTTCTTCCTTCGTTCCCGCTCCTTACTGATATTTCTTTTTTCTAATTCTCTAACGACCATTAACCCTCTTGAGTCTCAGTGGCTTTACTGCCTTGCTTGGGATGATTTTGCAATCTCTGTAGCTTGAATTTTATCTGGAACACGCTAACGCGTGTTAAAATTCTCCTATTATTTAATATTGTCGAAGTTATCATTAATGTTTTTGTCGAGATTTATAAACTACGTTTCGTTCAATTTTGCAAATCAATCGATGAAATTTGAATAAGCTGATTTGTTTCGAAAAATATTTGATAAAAACCCCTAATTCGCGTTTTTTTTACGCACCCTAGTAAAACCAATTGTACTTTCTACCCCATTACCTGTTTGCAGTTCTCCCAAAAATTTGGTTTCCATCGGTGAGTGTATGGCTATTTTAGAGGGTGTGACAGATGGACTAACGGAAATCACAGAATTGCAACCTACTGCGTGAAAAAAATCTGCCTCGAAAGATACATGATTGTCTAAGCGTGTATCATGCATGGCACATAACTGAACTGAGAGGCTGTGACGGACGGACGTGACAGAATTTTCTATTCTAGAAAATCTTTGCAACTCGCTGACGCGTGTTTGAAATGCTCAAAGTATTTAATATTGTTGAAGTTATCGCTGACATTTTTGGTCGAGTTTTACAAACTCTACGTTTTGTTCAATAAAAACTTAATCCCCCCCCACCAAAAAAAATATAATTAAAATTTATTGTACTAAGCTAAGCCCGCTAGTAAAACCAACTGTACTTTGTACCATTTACCTCTTTGTGTTTC